AGGACCAGAAATACAAAGATAGTCCAACTAAATTTCTGGCAGCACATTTTCAGATCGAAGTGAGCACGTTTTAAACTGTCAAAGCGAATTTGTAAGATATCAACTGTGGCCCGCTTTCGACTTCACTTTTAATGCACTGGCGATAAAAAACTTTGTGCAACAGTTGCGCCGTGTAGGTGTGTTCTCTGATGCAGGTGTTAACTGGAATGCGTGTGTTCGAAACACTTTTCGAATTGGCAGCAAAATGCGTTAGACGTGCGCCTTTTATAGCTCGACCCGTCCACAATATATATGTATGTATATATAACAGAGAGCCGTTACGGCAATGAGATAACGACAGCCAATGCGAGCGTCCACACACGAAGCAGCTGGGCCAGACGAAGGACGACGATGGCAACGCCGCCGCCAACGCACGACCGACGCAATGCCGCCAATGAGCGTTGCGTACCGTTACGTGGCGAGGACCAGCAACAGGCTGATGTGGGTACATAGGGCTATAGGTTATAGGCCGACCGAAAGGAAAAGCTTTTATTTTAATGCTCTTTACAAGAAAAAACGCAATCTGAACAATTGTTTATTGTCATTGCCTACATAACAGTGTGAAGTCGCCTGTGATGTGCCTGTGCTACTTGCTGTCATTAAGTGTAGTGTTATGATTCAAGTGTTTAGCTACCAAATACAACATTTCATCAATCATTTAGTTTCGAACGCAGTAAGGGTTGTGTGTATTGTATGTGAACCGTGTTAATAAGTCCCCGATCTGTCTTAAGTGTTTGCGATGCATCATGTAAAAATGTCCAATAATCTATTGAGTGTGAGTTCTGGCCTATTCCAGCTTGGCCAGGATGTCGCTTTCACGGAACAGCACATATTCGCGCTTGTCATCCATGTCCACCTTGGTGCCACCATATTTTGGCAAGAGCACACGATCGCCCTCCTTGACGCCCACCGGCAAGTGTCCAGCACCAACGGGATTGCGTGCACCGGGTCCCACGGCGACGACCACGCCCTGCATCTCCTTGGGCACAGCGTCCTCTGGCAACAAGATGCCGCCTGCTGTTGTGGTCTTTACCTCGGCGCGCAGTATCAAAATGCGATCCAGCATTGGCACAACTTTCTTGATAACGTTAGCCATACTTCTGCGTGGCCAGAAAAAAAATAAATAAATAAATAACTAAAGTCAAAAAATGAATTTGTCGTAAAAAAAAATTAATAAATGAATTTTTCATAAAAAAAATTAATAAAAAATTTTTCACTTTTTTTCGCCAAACTTATACCTTTGCTTTAAAAAAAAAAAAACACAATTATTTTTTTTTATAATTTTTTCAGTCGTTCACTTCGAGTGCTAGAAACAGACTGAGCTATACGAGTTCTACGGGAGGT